TCACTGCCCCCATTTGCAAAACAAAGATGGCAGTCTTATCAAAGTTCCAAGGCCAAGAAAATGCTTAGATTGTCTTGGTTTTAACTTGCGTCACATTTAATCAAACAAAAACTTTGCTCACAGGAAGAGGGTTTATTTGAAGACTTCCTCTTATAATTCTCCAAGTCTCCAACATTATGACATCTATAGTTATATACTTATACTATACCCTGCTATCTTGGCAAGCCAGAGTACATTTACTGTTATGTATAAAAATCAATGGTGGGGCCCTTTAAAGAGGCCTTAGTATACTTCCTGTAGTGTAGGTTTGTGTGCATGTAAATGGTCTGCAAAGGCTAAAATCCCTGTGTTCCCTCCAGAGGGAGTTTCTCTCCAACACACTCCCCCCACCCTGAAACGCCTCCATTAGAGTCCTTTGTTTACTTCAGGGACTTAGTGACATCACTTTGTAACATTTGCGCTCATATTGTCTAGTAGTGCTTCAACACATTGTACGTGATCACAACAGATTAACGTATGTCTGAAAAAGCCTGTGTAGTTTAATAATGGAAATCTGAGAGCAGTCAGCTGATCAAGAATTTCTCAATGATTGTGTTTCCAACATCCCCTGAGTGTACTTCTTTTTTTTAGCTGTACGGTAGTGTCTCATAGCGTTTCACAACAGATTGCCAGTGTTTTATCAATCTGGTGGCTTTCCTGGAAGGGAGTGTAACATTTGTAGGAAGCCACAATAACTTCACAGGACAATATTTGTTTTCTATCAGTGCAGATGTGAGGTAATGGCGTTAGTCAGTGCCTGTGGGTGGGACTGAACTTTGCACACGGTGTCATGCATCACACCAGCTCAAAATGGACGTTACATATAATTAGGAGGGGTTGTATACAAAAATGTAAGCAGGGCATTTGAGGACACACGCTATAACTCAGCTGGTGTCAGGGTGGTGGGCAGGGCCGCAACATTTAAAAAAAAAATTCCACCCAAATTGAACCACAGAGGCTGTTTATGAGGCTTTCTGCAGGCAGGAAGGAGCCTCAGCTGCTTAGTCAGACTTTCCATTGGAGGCCTAACACCTCCAGTCTTTAGTGACATCTTTTTATCATCTCCTTTTTCATGTTATCTACCTCCAGCTGCAGCAAACACGCATCCCTGTCATTATCGTGTACATACTGTGCATTCAAGAAGAGTTAAAGAAAATCAGATGACATCTCTTCTCCCTTTTTCCTGCAGACTAATCAGCTTCAGATGCATACAGTGTGTGTGTGTGTGTGTGTGTGTGTGTGTGTGTGTGTGTGTGTGTGTGTGTGTTTGTGTGTGTGTGTGTGTGTGTGTGTGTGTGTGTGTGTGTGTGTGTGTGTGTGTGTGTGTGTGTGTGTGTGTGCTTGCGTGCGTGCATGTGTGAGAGGCAAGCTAGGGCAAGATGGCAAGAATTAGGGTGTAATGCCTCCGAGGAGTTGAGAAAATGATTCTCACACAGCCTTTTTGTTTTTCCCAATAACTGAGAGGTAGGAAATCTAAAGAAACACATGCTCCAAATGTCCCAATTATTAATTCTACATTAAAAGTGTAAGCAAAACAAAACATATGGTGCAACAGGTTCTTACAATCTAAGAAGTCTGTGAATAAAAGCTTCAATTTAACACATGTATTGTCTTGTAATTGATACACTATAGCATTATTTGCCGAGTAGAGCTTTAAAACACTTTGCATGTTATTACTCTGCTTTCTTTTTCCTTTAAAATGACTCGTCATCATGCACTTATGCTGCTCAAGAGGAATCCCCCTCTTTGCATTCAGTTATGTTAAAGGTTAAAACGCCTTCTTTTGTTTGTCCCTGTTTTGAAAAGGTGGCGACCCCTCCTCTAAATGGTAGCTACTAGAAAATGCACCCATCCAGGCAATAAGGAAGCCTCTACCTATGTTCCTCCCTGGAACATATGATCAGTGATTTATGCTGACTAGATGAAGATCTCATCCAGGTGGTCTAAATATTCAATATGCGCGCTCCCGTCGTTTTGTGCCCAAACAAAGCTGTCCAAACCTAAAGCTCGTACACATTTTACACCTTTTCTTTGGGGGGGGGACTTACCTAGCCGTTTCCCATTCTCGTGCGCAATTCTTCTCGCCTTCTCCAGGAAAGCCTCCTCTTCGGATTTGTTTTTTTTCAGGCGTTTGTGTAAACAAGACATTTCGGACAGGATACACTTTTTCTTTTGTTTGTTTTACGATAAAAAAAACACCCCAAAAAAAGTATCCAGGCGGTGTTTAATGTGTGCTCCGTGTGGAGGAGAAGCACCACGTAGGCTACTGTAGTTCCCCCCATGGGGCGGGTCTAAACCGTCTAAACTCATCTACTACTCTGTTATATTCCCTGCAGCAGTCACTGTACAGATGGGGACCTCAAAGGCTTTGGGGAGGTGTATGCATGGTAATTTAGCCCAAAAAACCCACTATTAAATCTTATTTGGGTTGAAAAATGTCACAAGTCGATCCTACTTTCAGTATTGAGGAGTAACTTCATGAAGGAGTTCCCATTGCTTTAGGAAGAGACGATTGCAAAATAGGCTGCATTGTGACTTTAAATGGTAGTTGCATATTCCTACTTCACATTATTTTTCTTCCGTGCATGGACTTGGCTGCTTGCATAGGCTTAGTTTGCCCAACAAATGTTGTTATTATCTTGAATAATGCTGTTAATTGATGAAATAGCGCCACCCCATGGTTCGTTTAGGCCTTCATCTACTGTGCTAGTTGAACCCTTGTTTTAAAAAAAAAAGGCTGTGGTCGGGAATTACTGTGTTGTGAGAGTAAATTGTGACGCTGTGCTGGCAGCAAAAACAACTCAAACCTGAAAATCTGGGGCACTAATTCGCTGGTAATGACAGCTACTGGAACATCACTAAACTGTACAAACAAATCTGGCATAGTTTTTTATTTTCTTATCAAGATCATGACAGCCTTTACTCGACCCATGCAGTGAAACATCTGTCTTGGGCTTTTTCAGAAACATAAATACTTTAATAATCCAGGGGGAAATATATTTGTGTGCCAGTTGTTCCATTATAGAATGAATTAAATAAAACATTAAATAATGTAATCAAATATACAATAAGCTATATAAATATAATAATTAATGTAAAAATATCAGATAAAAGATAAAGTGCCTACCGCTCTGAGGGAGGAGTTAAACACCATTCCACATACATGAAACATACACACAAAATAAAGCAAAAATAAAATCCTCAAATCGTTCATTTTCTTTCAGTAAAATAATTTCATGGAAAACAAAAATCCGCACAAGTTTTCTAGTATACTGAATATTTCCAATACATGGAAAGCACTGGGAACAATGTGCTTGGAGAGAAGTAGAAATAATAGACAGTGTAGTAAATCTGTGCGTCACCAAACACTCACCATGTTTCAGAGCTGTGCAATTTGACTCCATTCTGATTCCTGTCAAAATAAAATCACCATACGCCGGGGTAAAGTCCTTTTCTCCTCCAAAATGGTGCCAGATATACTATAATAGTTATAATAACATAGGTAGTTTGTCCTACGTAGTGAACAGATCAGCCGGTGTGTGCCTCTGAGCAGCCTCACACAGTGTGCAGTTAATACCAGCCCATCAGACTCTTGAGCTGCCATCAGTCCACACCCACTGTAACACCGGTCTGACAAGTCCTCCACTGTGTTTGCTTTCATTCAATCAGCCCCCTTACACCTTTGGATGGAATTTTACCAGCATGGACTAAAAATAAACACTTTCAAAAGGTCAAATGTGGTCCTTTATAAGACAATGTTGCATGAAGTCTTCTATCTATACATGCATTAAGTCACTGCTGTGAATTTTTAAGCATTTTCACGTGATGTTATGTATGCAGGGTGTTGCCCCGGTGTGGTACAGACCTGCCATTATATATAGAGGAATGCTCCTGCCTCTCCCCTGTACCTTTCTACAGTGCAAAGTAACTCATCACATCACACCATGTCTGCAGTCATCATTATTACAAGGTCTCTACGCTATCTTGGCCATCTGACAGCAGATAGAGGCGTCAATCCTTAGCAGAGATTTCAGCAGTTCAAACAGAACAATGTGCTAAAGCAACAACTGATGCATGATAACCTGCTTTGGTGTCTAATATGGAAGGATAATTTGAAGTAGTAGTATGGGGAAAAGTGCTCAGAGTGCTCACACAGATCACGCTCTGAGCCTCAGTGACTGCCAGGCTTTTCTTTTCTACGAACTCTCCTGCTGGGGCAAGTCTTGTGAAAAAAAAAGATGAGGAAAAACTCTGTCTGGCAAACCTCGAGGCGATACAAAAGGAGGCTTAACAATTGCCCCTTTGAGATCCCACTTGAGCACAAGGAATGTGTGTTGTATTTGGAGTTTTTGCCCTCACAAAAAGCAATGTGTTTCAAAAATCATTGCTTAAGCAGGAACCACTCTTTTTGCATAATGCCACCGACAATTTTATTTGCTTGCATTGGTTGGAAAGTACTTTGCATGTCAACATGTGCGGAAACAACCTATCCCTCAATATCAGTTTGAAGGCCTACGTCTGCTTTGTCCATGGAAAACCATATTTTTTAAATTGGTAGCATTGTGGAATAAAGCCCTCATGAAAAGAAGACAAGGCCACACCTCATGACAGTGCAGTATCATGCAGGTGTGATTGTTTTATAAATATATTGAAGCATTGAAGTATAAAGTGTTTTGGTCCATAGCCTACTATTCAGTGTGGAGTAGGCCTACTTTTGACTTTACTATATTTACCTGACAGCTGTTATAGAATAAATAAAAAACTAAAACAAACCAACAAATAGTGAAAAGGTTAAGCACATAGGCGTAAATAGCTAGCATATTGTTACAATATTAAACGTGGTTTCTCAAATAATGTGTTTTGGGGCACTAGTTTTATGTTTCTGTGGTTTCCTTCTTGGAGGGCTACAGCGGATGTATCTGTCACTATGGCAACCACATGTAAATAAACATGGCGTAAGGGAGCGAGTAATTTTACATTTTGGCCACAGTTTTACCTAGTTAAAAAATGTGTATAAGTTATATTTGGAAGGGAAATAAGTCGTCTTGCTAACGCTATAAGTCTGTTTTAACGTTGACATTACATGCTAATTCATGTGTTTGTGTTTATTTACGCTAACTTACTAACTTTTGTTTAGCTAATTAGCATACCGTTAGCTACATGAGCGTCTCCTGCGCCATGCTGGAGGAACCAGAGAGCAGAGAACCCTCTCTGTTTGATCCGTCTGTGAACAGCCACAGACCCGCATCAGGGAAGTCCCAGGTACCTGCTGTTTACCAAACAACCTGTGGTGTAAAGAGTACTCAGATAACATAATACTGAATGCTCCACTACAGTACATGTAAAAACCTTGTTTCAAATGTTACCTATGTTAAAGTACAAAAGTATTAGCATCATAATGTACTTAAAGTACCAAAAGTGAAAGTACTTATTGTATATTGCACAATGGCCCATTTCAGAATAATATAAAATACAGAAATATTATCATCAAAGTGTACTTAAAGCATCACATCGAAATTACTATATCGTATCTTTAAAGTATTTTGTTATTATGGTTATTGTTTTTCCATGTAAGAGTATTTATTTGGTCAATGTTCGACAAATTTAGATACTTGAAATACTGTGTAGATAGTAGCACAGTACTGCATTGATTATACCACATCAGCTTAACATTAGTTTGTTTATGTACAAAGTAACTAGTAACTGTGAGTGTTATAATAAATGTAGTGGAGTCAAAAGTACACTATGGGCTTCCAAAATGTAGTGGAGTAAAAGTAAAAAGTAGCATACAAAAGAATAGCACTGCCTGCTACTAAGAATACAATGTTGCTAAACACTAACTAAATTCACATTAAGCATTAAGTAAAATTAACTTTTTCTCATTCTGGTACATTAGGACATTTCTCACGTGTTGGCGAGCACCTTCAAGGACCTTTACACTAAAGACATCATTGGGAAAGACACTTTGTCCAACCTCATCAAGACAAAGAATGGACGCAGCAGCTACCATGACAGATATGTGGAAGAGCTTCAACAGGTAGCCTAACTACACAAGGCTTACCCACAACTCCATAGCAAATATATATATCTGTATTATATATTTGTTCCTATTACAGGCTCATTCTGAGTACAGCCGGCGTATAAAAGAGGCGGACATGCTGGAGAGTCATATAATCCAGGCCAGGGCTCGGGCTGCAGCCACAGAGAGGCAGGCCTACGAGAGGATGAGGGAGAGGATGGGAGACATTATCGATCAACAGGGCCTCCTCACAGGTGAGATGGGAATATGACCATGAATGAATATACTGCTGTTTCGAAAAATTACAAGTAACAATTTGAATTATATGTATATGTATGTTTATGCTGCTGCAACGCAAACATTTCCCAAATCGGGATCAATAAAGTACTTATCTTATCTTATGTCTATTTTCAGTCCAATCTGCCTTTTCCTGGTGCGTGGACAAAGACCTTCTCGAAATGAACAACCTCCTTTCCCCCCAGGACTACTTACCTACACAAAAACCACATGTGGAAGCACCGGCAGCAAGTACATGAGCCTCTTTTGGATCTTAAACCATAAATAAACAACATGTTTGGCCAGGTTCTCATTTGTTCTTTTCCTGTCAGTAAAATCAAATCCTGGCAAACCCACCCTCTCCTACGCCATGCACGTGTCCAAGGAGCCTCAGGATGATGGTTACACTTTAATTCCCAGTCCAGAGAAGATCATTCTAGGCGAATCAGATCTCAGCCTGACTTTTGAATCAAGCTCAGTCACCCCAACGAGAAGGCAACCTAAAGAGGTGAGGAGTCACACTTACACCCTTTCAATGAATCAGAGGACTTTTTAACACAAGTTTACGATATGTTTCAGAAGTCCAAACAGACCGTACCTAGACCCAAGTGGAAGGATGAGCCCAGCGCACAGGATCGAGAAGAGGGACTGGAGAAACTTCAGAAGCTGAAAGATCGACACAATTTCCTACGCAACCCTCGCTTCCTTCCTCCGAGTGCACAGCAGGGGGGCACATCCCTCGTCCGGCCCAGAACCAAAGTGGGGAAGAAGGAGCATGAGAAGAGAGGCATGGAGGAACAAAGGTAACTGGAATGGGCTAAGTATACGTCACCATTTCACATTAAACGCAGGGCAGGAAATACAAAAAGGCATGTTAAAGGTCATAGTAGGTCACATGTGAAAATCTACTATGGTGGACGTGGACATACTATAGGCTTAAGTCAGATCGTCTCTTTCTAATAATAATTGCAAATATGAGCATCTTTTACCACCGTGTAAAAAGCAGTGTATCTTTTGTGCCAAAGCAGAAATATGTAACTTGATACTCCTGGTATTATAATTTATAATACAACACATCTAGCAGGCTGTGTTTCTGGATCATATTACATTTTGAAAAGCTATATTGGGTAAGAAATAATTTGCTTGCAGATACCTATTACAATTTTGAGTCAACATTTTCAGATGCATTTTGCCACAGCTGTAGCCCTGAGTCAAACATAGATAGAAGTCCATCTGAAGGGGAAACAAGTCACATCATGCAGTGAGAGCATTAAAAGAGACTCATAATCTGCGTGTGGACTCAAACACTGCTCACCACAATCAACACGTCGAGTGTGTCATGTCAGCAAGAAGCGTGTGGTAAGTGTGGCAGAGTGTCAACGCTGTGGATCAGTGATCATGATGATTATTATAGGTTGTATTCAAAAGGATAGCTTGGATGTTTTGAAATTGGCTAGTTTGAGATATATTCAAATCCTTTTATCCTGCATGCCCCCAATTTTAACCACGTTAAAAAAGACCCACTAAAGAACTATATGTTAATGTGTTTGCTATATTTCGAATATTGTCACATCTTTACTCGGGGTGTGGCGACCGACATCTGCTCGGTAAATACACTGACTTTACACAGGATAAGTACCTCTTACAACAAATAGTTTCCTTTAACAAACATTAGCGCAGCTCCAGCTTTGATCCGACCCAAAAGACAATGTCTGCTTAGGCAGGGGAAGAAAATCAAATCAAAAATGCTTGCTTTGTGGTTTTGACGTAGAAGTTAATGCAGGCAGTGGTAGCTCGTTACCCTGCTCACCACTTCCTGTGTTCACTGAGAGCAAAAATATATACTGAACTGTTTTGTGATTTTTTTAAAGCTCCACTGATGATCCTGTGTTCCTAGCTACTCCCTCAGTGGTCATGTTCACCGACTACACTGTAGGACAGGTATACGAGGTATGTGTCTGTGATTGAATTATCCTGAGATTTTGTCAGCAGTGATGTACAGTAACGTGCCCCGTCCCGTTCCAGACTACACTGGAGCTGAAAAACTTGACGTCTGCCAGCCGTACGGTCCGAGTCATCCCCCCCAACACTCCTTACTTCTCCATTGGCCTCGGTGAGCCTTTCCTTTGTCACAGCGGATCGCACTGCTTCTTTAAATCCTGTTTGTAGTCATTAAAGTGTGCCTGTGATTGTATCAGAAGAAATGCCAGGGTGTTTTGACAGATTAATTGTCTGGAATGCAAAAGGTGTTTTTTGGCATTCCTGTGTTGCTGTTGCTCTCCTGTGTGTGAACATCAGCGCCACCTACTGTACTATATGAGACTGGCATTACTCCATCTATTAAACTGTGCAATTTAGCATTCATATCTATTCAAACTAATAGAATACACCATTATATACAGTGTAATCTACATGTGGTACAAAGTGTATTTTTACTTTAACTTCTTGTGTTTATATACATATCTTCAATTCATTTTATCTTGTCTTTTTATGTTAATACAAATATTAGATTTTACTCGATTTTATTAGATTTTTTATTGGACTTTTTACTTTGATTTCTGATTTTTATATAAATATTTTATTTTGTATTTAACTTTTTATTTTCTATAAATATCTTTATTTTATCTTTCTATTACTCATTCTTACTTTGTGTTAATATACATATCTTACTTCTATTTTGTTTAGTTACCTTTTTTCATTTTTATTTATTTCTAAATTGGAGCATCCGTCACCAACAAAACTTCCCCCGGGATACAACAATTCTGAATTATAATATAGATTTGAACTCTGAAGGAATGTATGTTTTCCGGTATGTTTTGCAGGGAGGTTCCCGGGTGAGGGGGGTGTTGTTGCCCCGGGGATGAGCTGTAAGTACACAGTGCGCTTCGCTCCAAACTCTCTGGGGGAATTTGAGGACTTCCTGGTGGTGGAGACCCAGGCTGAGCAGCTGCTTGTGGTGCCCGTCATGGCCAGAAGACCCCCTCCAATACTCACATGTGGGTCTCATAACCATCTACCAACTTTCCTTTGTTTGTGTACTTTATACTGCCATCAGGGGGTCCGCGGGGTCTTAAAAAGTATTAAAAGTTGATAAATCAATTTAGCGAAAATTAAGCCTATTAAAAAGTATGAAACGGCGTTTTCCAAGGCGTTACATTTTGTAGCTTGTTTTCAATAAGTATATAAATTGTCCAAGAGGTTGTATTCTACAGTCTGCCTGAATGTAATCATTGCGTAGGTGTGTAGTGTGATTCTGTGTAGTTTATTGATGGCATCCCGTTGGGTTTGACGTCATCTGAACAGGACATCGCGCGCTCACTGCTTGATAGCGCGAAGCTCCGTTTACGCCGGTTGTTAAACAACATCGTTATGGGGAAATGCAAGTCTGCGTCCAAATGGTTGGAAGAGAAGGAGGAAGGACAATCAATACTGTATATAGTCAATGTGAGGTAAAGTGTGTCGCCAAGGCAACCGGTTAAAACTCCAAGTGGCGATTGTTAGAGAATATTTCTTCCTTATTCCTAAGTGTCAAAGAATAATTCTTCCTTACTCCTAAGATATTTAACCTTATTGCCTGTTGTTGACGTTAATAACAAATCCTGTTCGTGACGCCAGCTTTAAGGAATGTTCTCCAGCACTTAGTGTCAAGTTGTATGGCCTGATAGGGGAGTTTACGACTGGGAACGCTGGCTTTCTAAGCTCCACAGATGTGAGAGACATCTCCTGTGTCTGCAGATGTTTACGCCCATCCCCAATATGTGGATTTGACTCTGTAAACTAGTTAAAAGGTCTACCAAGATGCGAGGCTGATCAGAATTGACATGACAACCCACCCGTGCAGTCAGAACCTTTTGCTGCTGTGACTTGTGATGTGAATTCTCCGGCCGTATCCTTGTAATAAACTATCATTGTTTGACATCAAAGCTCCAACTCTCCTCGTGTCTCTCTGAGTCCTGACTCTCCATTGCTGCAGAAGTTTCCCTTACAGCGATGAGGTCTTAAAATGTATGGAAAGGGTCTTAAAAAAGGTCTTAAAAGGTTTTACATTTGACTTCAGGATTCCTGCATATACCCTGTGCCATGCATAATAAGATTTCCCCTTATTATCATGCAGTACCAAGAGTTCTGGAGTGTGGTTGTTGTCTGATCGGAGGAGTCAAGTTCGTGGAGTTCCTGTGCCAAAATGTTGGCGTCAGCGCCGGGACGTTCTGCATCGTCCCCAAAAACCAGTGGCCAGCCTCCAACCTGAGGGTACAAATCTGTTTTCATTTCATTCATATGTTTCCTGCATTCCGTGGGTTTAAGCTTCTTGAAAATGTTTTCTCTCATCACTCGCCATCTTGACACCTACAATGTATAATCTCACCTTGCAATCTCAAAAGTAACAATCGTTAGGAAAGGTTTAGTAATATAAAAAGTATGTTTTTTAAATGTTTGTCATCTGTTTTTCTTTCTTCATACAGTGTCTGGCGAGAACTCACTTCTCTGAGCAGCCACCCTTTGCGATCAGCCCGTCTCTTTTTGTGCTGCAGCCAGGAGAGGTCACTGTAGTGGAGGTGAGCGTGTTATAGGGGTATATTTACAAGAAATATGCTATAATGCAATGCTTATTTGGCTGGATTAAATCCCATAGTTTGCATCAGCTGTTCTCACTAAGATGTTTATGTTTCAAATAAATCGACACGTTGAAATGATTTAAAATCTTTAGATCTGTTTTATATATCTATGTGTGTTTGCAGGTGGTTTTTTTCCCCACCGCTGCTGAGAAGAGCTGTCAGATGTTCACCATAGTGTGTGATAACTGTCAGGTGAAAGACATTTCCATTGAAGGTGAATCTTTTCAGGCATCAGAAAACTATGCAAATATAATGCTTTAATGCTCTATAAAACATGTTGACCCCTCCTCTGTCTCTGTTCCCCAGGTGAGGGCCAGCTGATTGCTCTGGAGCTTGTGTCTGTTTCTGGGAGGAAGGAGCCCCCGGTGGTGGGAGAGGTGCACGACCTCACTGCAGAGCACTTTGTCCGATTCAGCCCCTGTAACCCTCACTCTGTGCAGGAGAAGAGAGTCATCATTAGGAACAACGTGTAAGCATCACACCCTCATACATCAATACACAACGTGAAATACCAAGGTCTGATTCTCTGTAGCTCTGACCCTGTGTGACAGAAAAAACACACGTTTCCCTTCATGGATCATTACCTATCAAATGACTTTCTCTTTCTCTCTCTGGGTCTGAAGCCACCTGGAGCTGCCCTTCCACTGGCACACCATGAAGCCCAACCTGCACCCGCAGCTCCCAGGGGAAACTCCAGAGCCCAAACACATCCAGTTCCACCCGACCACAGACGGTGTTTTCCACGTCACCCCGATAACTGGCGTTCTTCCCCCCTGTCAGGAGCAAGAGTTTCTGTTCACCTTCTGCCCTAAAGAGGTACACAGAAAACATGGCAGAACACAGAAAGCAGGGGTTTATATTGAGAAGTTATATCAAAACGTGTCCTTTATCCTCTTACTTGAAGGTTATTTTGATCAAATCTAGATCGTTTTGGTGAGAGTTGCTGCGTCAGCGTCCTACAACGTGTCTCTAATAATGGAAACAAGGTTCATGATGCCATATTATTGTATTTTGGTAAACGAAAATAGTTCCCACGTGCATCTGCATCATGCAACCAGGTCATTATTTTCTGCTGGATTTATTTAATTGCCGCTTTTAGCCCAACAAGCTGAGTGCCATAGTTCTAATACACGCACAAGGCTTTATATATATATATATATATCCAACACTCTGCCACACACACCAAAACAAGCTAGATAAATAGCACTCCAAGTCAGAGGATAAATATAAATCCAATGCTGTATTTCTTACTAAATACTTTATTTTATGTTTTCTGAAGTTGGAGGATTACCACAGTGTTTGTCACTTAGTCCTGAGGGATGTTCCCCAGCTGCCACCAGAGTCCAGTGACAATAGGTAAAGATCCTTTAAACAGTGGTAGAAGTGTGTACTGTAAATATTAGTATGTGAACGCATCCTCAAAAGGTCACTGCACACAGTCAGTTTACTAAACAGGTGTGTGTGTGTGTGTGTGTGTGTGTGTGTGTGTCTGTCTGTCTGTCTGTCTGTCTGTCTGTCTGTCTGTCTGTCTGTCTGTCTGTCTGTCTGTCTGTCTGTCTGTCTGTCTGTCTGTCTGTCTGTCTGTCTGTCTGTCTGTCTGTCTGTCTGTCTGTCTGTCTGTCTGTCTGTCTGTCTGTCTGTCTGTCTGTCTGTCTGTGTGTGTGTGTGTAAACCATAGGTGTAAACCCAGTGTCCTCCAGCCTGTGCGCACTGGCTCCAATGTGAGCGATGTCATCGTCATGGAGATAGAGGTCAAGGGGTCAACAGAGCCGTACCACGTCCTGCTGGAGCCGTACGCCGCCGTGATTCCCGGAGAGATTTTTATTTGCACGACCACATGCAGGCAGTTCAAGGTCCTTTGAGTCACTTTTACCCATGTTAACTTTTAATTAAAGATGTCAGATTTTAATGTAATCATTTTGTTTCTGTGTTGTGTGAACTAGATGTGGAACCACAGCAGAACCGCCATCTTTTTCCAGTGGGAACGGATGAAAAGCAGCAGCCATATAATAGAAGTACAGCCCTCTGCTGGTACAATAGGTGTGTCAGACAATTCGATAAGATGCGGGAAGCTGTACGATTCATTGGTGCTTTATTGATTATTTTTCCTCCCTGTGTCCAGAGGAGAACGAGTGTTTTGATTTCGACCTGATTTTGAACGGAGGGAAACCAGAGAGGGTTGTTACCAGTGTGGTTTGCCACATAGAGCACCGCCACGAGCCCGTCACTTTGGCAGTGGAAGTCTCTTTTAAGGTGAAAACAAATGTTATCACGAAACATAAAGTTGGTTGCTGTGACTTCCTCTGTGTACAACTTCCCTGTGAGGCTCATTATTTGGTGTTTTATAGGGTCCTCTAGTGACCCTGAATGTTCCCAGTGTGGACTTTGGGCTCCTGAAGCTCGGGGAGCACACTCAGACCTCGCTGATCCTCACTAACGTCACTCAGCTGGAAGCCGGCTGGAGGCTGCAGGAGAGGCAGCACCAACACCCACAGGTACTGAACACTGGGTTAAAGAGCAACACAAATGTGATAAAACAACATGAAATATTCAAAATTAATATAATATAATGTATCTTTATTGTCATCATACAAAGTACAACGACATTTCTTTGGCAACTCTCACTGGAGTAAAAAATAGACACAAATAAATAAATAAGAGTGGTAAACACAGAGGTAGTAGCGATGACAGAGATACAATTTAATGTCAATGTGCATATTTACACTTACAGTCTAAAAACGTTTAAATGTACAAAACTGTATAATCTCCCTTTCCTAGATTTTAGTGGCGCCATGCAGAGGTGTGCTTCCCCCTTTGACCTCTTGCAGTGTGGATGTGCTATTTATTCCCATTTCCTGCCAGCGATATGAAACAGAGCTGGAGTTAACGGTGGAGAATGGAACAGGATGGTAAGGATGCATCAAGTTCACTGTTCCTCAATATGCATGATATTCAAATACAGCTGGAGATGGTGCAGATGGAGATGTAACCCACTGTTGATAACACCACCTGTGTGCTGTTGCAGCCACCTGTCAGTGCGGGCAGATGTTCAGACGCCTCAGGTGTGTCTGCTCAGCTGTGAGCTGCTCCTCTCTGAACTCTACATGGGGGTGCATGCCAGAGCCACCGTCACTCTGTTCAACCAGACGCTGCTGCCCTCTCACTTCAGCTGGATGGTACGCTGGCTTTAACACATTTGATCATGACTTCATTTGAAGTAAGAACAATTGATGTTGCTTTAAATCATGTGGAAAAGCCCTTTTCTGTATGTGTGTGTGCAAGGAATAATTGGTTCAATATGCAAAATTGTTTGGGTACATATTATTGCACAATTTGTGATTTTAGGTACATTTTTTTTAATGATTTGGAGATGGGGAGGGCAGTTATGTTCCTAGAAAAACACTAAAATAACATATTTATGAGGTCCAACTCGGAAAATGTTAATAATGGTTACGGACCAAAAAAGAACTTTCCTCGATTGCTTTCTCTCACTTTTTCTGAATCTATATTTCATTTGTTCTCGTATGTTTGAGTGTTGTTCACATGAATGAACTCTGAAATTGTATTTTATAAATGATTTCTTGTGTAATTTTTTTATTAACTTACAATGACATTTCTCACAACTACAGAATGGTTCTTAATTTTTGTCTTAAATTATGATATCTTCATAAAAATGATTACATTGGTGACGTGACTTTCACATTCCCCCCCCCCCCCCCCCAGGCTGAGCTGCAGGGTGAACTGGCTGATCTGTGTTCAGCCACTTTCGAGCCGTCCTCCGGCACTCTGGGACCTAACGACAGCTTGGAGATCAAAGTCACCTTTACCTCTCACACAGATGTAAGTCACACACCAATATATCACACACTTTGTCAATCAACACTTGAGTCTGTGAGAGTGAAGGTTTTTCGTTGCTTACCCCAATTCCTAGTGATAGCTTTCTTGCTGGATATTAGCAGAATTTTAATCAAATATATGTCACTTGCAATCATTTCCTCAGTTAATTCACATAAATAGAGTACCAAACAACTTTTAGAAACCTCATACGCAATTATTTGACGTATGAAAATATCTTTTAATAATAATAATAATAGCATTTTAATATGGTTTGTCTTTTTGTCCAGGTGGAGCTGACGGAGATAGCTGCTCTCTGTGAGGTCCAAGGGATGAACTCTCCTCTTGTTCTTAGTATCGTTGCTTCCAAAATCAAGAAACTCAGTGTGTCCTACTCCCTGCCAAGTGTCTGGTAATAGCCTTTGCAGACACACAAAACAATACAACACACTAAAGGAAAGGGAAAACCCCAAAAAGCACAATAGAACCTCTTTAAAAACTGCTATCAAACACCTATCGTGAGTGTTTGGTCATGGCTGATTTTGTCTGCTTCCAGCTCTCCCTCAGGTGATGAGAGCCCCTCAGCACTGGTACTTGACTTTGGAGACGATGTTATTCTGAAGAGAGCTGTTACCAAGCAGTTACTGATAACCAATCAAACTGCCATCCCTGCGCCTTTCACCATCGAAGCAGAGTATTTCAACTGCCATGCCTCGAAGCCAAATAACCAGTCAGAGAAAAGGTAAGAGGAGGTTGCAGAATAACGAATAATGCATCACTTTACTGCAGATGTGACACATTCTGCATTTTAACCGCAGACCCACATACGTCAAGAAGCCGCTGCACTCTGTTCAAGCCAAGAAAGTAGAGAAAAAAGCACAAGAGGGTATTTAGAGCACACACTTTTTTGTAAATGAAAGATTGAGTACACACTCACACTTCCTGTATGTGTTGGCAGAGTTTGTGAGCGGCCTGCTGGCTCATGGGAAAGGAGCCGCTTTCTTGGTCCTTCCACAAAATGGGATTCTGGGAGCTTTTGAGACGCAGACTGTGGACGTCACCGCCTACACCGACATGTGGGGGGAATACAGAGATCTCCTCGTATGCAAAGTATGATGCCAAACAATGGGGGGAATTCACTTTATTCTGCAAGATTCTTCATTTAAAGGGGACCTATATGCAAAATGCACTTTTTGATGTCTTTCATACATAAATATGTGTCCCCGGTGCATCGGGGAACTCACGCAGCGTCAGAAAATAAAACCCTCTCTCTTTTCCTCCGTACCCTAATCTCTAAAAACGGGGGAACAACTTAGCTGATCCAGATTTGCGTCCGATATGACGTAATATCTGAAATGTGGACCCACGGCCCAATCAGAAACGTTGCTATCAGAAACAATGCCCGACTGTTTTGGACGTAATAGAGAAACGCAGTGACGCGTCCTAAAACCCGGAAGTAAGTTAGCATTTTTACCACGTCCGGTTCCTTCGACAAAAGCAATGAGATTTCTCCATAGGGTTTTGGAAGATAGCTGGAAATCAGGTCTGTGTTTGACACAAATTGAAGAGACAGATCATGTTTTGTTCTACGACATTAAATACATCAGCAGTGACCCCACTGGTGATTTCTGAAGAGTTGTTAACAAGTGGCTGAATAGGACTACAGAAGTCGTGGAGGACGTTGTACGTCATTACGCCGAACACGTAAACACTCCTCTAAGTTAGTTTCTGTTCTGCTTGAAAGCAAGTCCCTGCCTCCTGCAGACTGTTCAAACAAACGCTTCAACTCGTACAATTTAGAATCTGTGTGTTTGAATATGGATCTTAAGTCGGCGTGACGTTGAAGCAGCGACCCCGCTGTAGTTCCTTTATAGCATAGCGTTAGCATTTTGCTTCTGGCGACTAGATTTATGATTAGAAAATTATAAAAATAGGGTAGACATGTGGAGATCATCCGGCTGAACAAAACGTGACCCGTCTCTTAAATGTGTCTCAACCACAGACATTATTTCCAGCTATTTTCCCAAATCCTACGGAGAAATTGCATTGCCTTTTGACAAAGGAACCGGAAGGAGTTTACTTCCGGGTTTTAGGATGCGTCACTGCGGTTCTCTATATGGTCGGTGTTTACATTAGCATCGCTAACACTCAGAGCTAACCTGTACTGGAGAGCATGTGTGTGAAGAAGCAGGAAGTAAAAAGGAACTCACCTTGTGGTATAACCGGCAAGAGAGAAAGCCTTTGAGCTCCAAACTGTTTCAGATCCTTGATAATCCATGATATGGCGTTTCCTCACGGCAGCATTTAGTTTAGACGGTAGCTGCCGGGTCCCGCATGAGCTCAGACCCCTCCTTTTTTATTTTATCAATTTTTTATTTTTGTTAAAGCTTTATACCCAAATCAGCACTTTTGAAACAGGAAGTGAAATAGAGGGATATGAGGCATGGCTAGAATGGGTGATCTGTTTCAGGAACAAAGACTCTCTCTCTTTTTGATCCATTTCTATAAAAACCACATGTCTGAAAATGAGCTGATCAGATTTTGGCCACTTCAACGATGTGTTGTCTTGTGTAACCATTAGCCAATCAGCAACCAAGGTAACCCCCCCCCCCCCCTTATCACCTGAATCTCCTCTAGAGCACCATTGAGTTCTTTGTAACCAAATCTCTCAGAGGGGCGTGGGGAGGGGCTCCTTATTTTCATCTGAAGTACCAGACAGAGAATCAGCAGTTTGGAAACAGGGCTGAAACAGAGGGGATTATGGGTAATGCTGCAATGATCTGTTTGGTGTTTCAGCCAATCAGAGACAGGTTTTGTATTTATCTGAGACCTATAATAAAGTAATGAAAAACAGCATAATAGGGGACCTTTAAATCTAGTTTCCCTCCTGCAGGTGGGGGACCTGGAGCCCTCGTTCCTCCCCATGCAGATGAAGGTGACAGGCTGCCCTCTCTACTTCCAAATGACGGGCCCACGTCCAGAATACCAGAACCAGGGACCCATCACACAGTCTGTTCCTCACTCCATTTCTCCCTAATTCAATCAGCCGTCCTTCTTTCATGCATTCTTTATATTGAATCATATCTTTCCTGTGTGCATCATTAGGTTTGGCACTCATGCTTCTGGAGGTGACACAGTGTCCAGATCGCTTCGCATCAACAATCCCACCATGTTTGGTATACGTGGAATCATAAAAACGTCCACTCTGGTTTCCCCTCCATCTTGGGGCCTCTTCTCATTAACATCTACATGCTACCACTGGCTCAGATAATGAAATAAGTTACCATAGCTATGCAGATGACACACAAATGTACGTAACAATTTCACCAGGAGACTATGCTCCAATTCAAACACTGAGTAAGTGCATTGAACAAATCAATGACTGGATGTGTCAGAACTTTCTCCAATTAAACAAAGATAAAACTGAGGTAATGGTTTTTGGAGCCAAGGCAGAACGTATAAAAGTTAGCGCTGAGCTTCAGTCTGCAATGTTCAAAACAACAGATAAAGCCAGAAATCTAGGAGTAGTCATGGACTCTGACCTGAGTTTCAACAGTCACATTAAAACAGTTACTAAATCAGCCTACTATCACCTAAAGAACATATCTAGGATTAAAAGACTAATGTCACAGCAGGATTTGGAAAAACTTGTCCATGCTTTTATCTTCAGTAGACTCGACTACTGTAATGGTGTCTTCACAGGTCTCACTAAAACATCTATTAGAAAGCTGCAGCTGATTCAGAACGCCGCTGCTCGAGTCCTCACTGACGCTAAGAAAGTGGATCACTCCTGTTCTGAAGTCTTTACACTGGCTTCCTGTGTGTCAAAGAATAGATTTCTAAATACTGCTGCTGGTTTATAAAGCACTGAATGGTTTAGGCCCAAAATACATTTCTGACCTCCTGCTAAATTATGAACCATCCAGATCTCTCAGGTCTTCAGGGACTGGTCAGCTTTCTGTCCCCAGAGTCAGAACTAAACATGGTAAAGCAGCGTTCAGTTATTATGCTCCAAATATCTGGAACAAACTCCCAGAAACCTGCAGGTCCGCTGCAACTCTGACTACTTTTAAATCCAGGCTGAAGACTTTTCTTTTTGTCGCTGCTTTTAATTGAACTATTCACATCTTAAACTGCACTGTAACTTTTATCCATGTATTTTTTCTTTTAATGTTTATTTTATTAGCTTTTCTTTTTAATGACTGATTTTAAATGCCTTTTTCTTAATGTCTTTCATTTTTTGTAAAGCACTTTGAATTGCCTTGTGTTGAAAAGTGCTATATAAATAAACTTGCCTTGCCTTGCCTTGCCTTCACTGTTTTTGTATCTAATCTAAATCTCAACTTCCTGCCAGATATCCGCATGGACTGGGAAACCTTTAACATCGACCAGAACGACGGTAAACTGGTGGATGTGGTGGTGGCGTACGGAGAAGCCTTTCCTCTTAAAGATGCTGATGGCAACGAGCTGCTGAGCGGAGCTGTAAGGATTTCTGGTGCATCCTGGGAAATAAATCAGTCCCCAGGCTCTGAGGGAACGAGCTCCTCCCTCCGAAGCATGACCGTGAGTACATTTCACTGATACAAACACTTTTATAGCGTTGCCTCTGGGAGATACTTATGTGTACTGATTTCAGAGCGGGGAGGAATATGTTTCTGAGGATGAAGGTGAGGAAGAGGAAACCTGCCTCTATCCCGCTCCTGCAGAGAAAAAACTAATCTCCGTTCTGGTCAGACCTCATGTGGGCAACCTGTCGGATTACCCATACTGCATCACACCCCAGCAAATAGTAAGTCTATAAGATTTGACCCACATTTAGCTTTAACGTATGTGTATATAATGATTGCTTTCTCTCAAGGTGATTCCAGCCAAAAGCAGCGGCACCATCCACGCGTCCTTCACTCCTCTGACTCTCTCCGGGTCAGCTTGGGAGTCCAGATCTGTGGGTCTGGCTCTGGGTTTCATGAGTCTAGACTCAGAGGTAACAACAACATTAAACTCTTTTAAAAAGGCCCTATTAGGCTGTTTGGGGTTTCCCTGAAACGCCTCCATTGGACTCCTTTGTTTACTTGAGGAACATATTGACATCACTGTGAAACACTTGCGCTTCTATTGGCTAGCGCTCCAACACAGAGAGGCGAAGTCCCTCCCTTTCCTCCATGGGACCTTATTTCGGAAAAAGTATGTATTGAAGTCAATGGGGAGAGAAAAATTATCTTTCGATCCCGTTTGAATTGTGCCACGAATTACACATATGATGTTTGTCAATTTAAAAGTAACACTTGTTTTTGTGTGAAACCACTCAATGAACTACATCTCCCGTCTCGCTCCACACACCAAGACGGCCGTCACGTTGAAACATTTCACTCCTTTCTTTCAGAATGAGGCGGAAAGTATTAAAAGAGGAGAAAATGACTCCAAGTCTGGGCACGTTGAGAGCTGTGCATACACACAAGGGGAGTTAGTCGGTTCCGTGAGAGCCAGCATGCGGGACCGGGACTCTGGGATTTGTAGTCTTTCTAGTTGCGTATTTTTGATAGTCTTATATTTCAACAGTTTTACGACAAACTCTGACTTTTTTGACACGGAAATGATTTTTTAAATTGACAAACATCATATGTGTAATTCGTGGCACAATTCAAACGGGGTCGAAAGATAAGTTTTCTCTCTCCATTGACTTCAATATATACTTTTTCCGAAATAAGGTCCCATGGGTCGGAAGTAGATGGGCGGGACTTCGCCTCTCTATTGAACGTGATAAGCTAAGGGGCGGGACATCTCTAAGCTGGTTGATCAATCACAACAGAGCCGGCCAGCTAACCAATCAGAGCAGACTGGGCTCTGGTTTCAGACATAGGGTGAAAAGAGGTGCTGCAGCACAGGCAGTATGAGAGAAATAAAGAGCTTTTTGAACATTGAAGCATGGAGACATGTCCCAGTAGAGACAAATATGAACCTGAAAATGAGCAGAATACGTCCTCTTTAACTGGAGAAGCAAACTGAAAATGACTCTGATGAAACCCTCATTATTGTGTGTGTTTACAGATGGCTGCCTGTGTCCCGGGTAAAGTGATCAGAGCTCAGGGTTTGGATCTGGATCCACTCAGAGTGGATCTACTAGCAGCCGTTAAGCCTGCAGCGTGAGCAAATACAATCACATTTAGTCCCCAAAACACCCCGAAAGATTCCAACTCTATTTATGTTTCCTAAATTGCAATCAGCTGATGTTGTGGACGAGGGGCTCAGAGGTGGTCTGATTGAGTTGCATGTCTTCCTCTTGGCTCTGTGTGTCTGCAGGCTGTCGGTGCAGATGGAGGAGGACGGGGGGGCGCTGCAGTTTCACGCCTCGGCCGGTGATTTACTGACGGCAGAATCAGAGGAGGTCAGTCTGAGAAACAAACACTGAAGTACACAGTATTGATCCCAGACAGTGTTTCTCACTCCGGTTGTTTTGCTCCAGAAAAAGCTGCTCGTTCGGGACTTTGACGTCACGCGGGCCCTTCAGCTGAAAAACAACTCAGAGATGCCGCTACACTTCAAACTGGGGGCTCAGGATCCATTTGTAGTGCTCAGGCCGCAGACTAGAGTCCAAAGCAGCAGCTCCAGCAACCCCCCCACTGCAGAGAGCCAGACCCTGCTGCTGCAGCCGCAACACAGCATGCAGGTGAGGAGAGGAGAACATTACATTACATTACATTACATTACATTTAGCTGACGCTTTTATCCAAAGCGACTTACAATAAGTGCGTTCGACCAACAAAATACAAACTTGAAGAAAACAGAATCATATAAGTACATCAGGCTTCATAGAGCAAAAACATTTCAAGTGCTACTCAACTGGCTTTAGGTAAGCCAGCCCTTTATTAGTATATAAGTGCTCTGTTAGTAGTTCTAACGCTCGAAGTGGAGTCGAAAGAGATGAGTTTTCAGTCTGCGCTGGAAGATGTGCAAGCTATCTGCTGTCCAGATGTCAATGGGGAGTTCATTCCACCATCTTGGAGCCAGGACAGCAAACCCACGTGTTTTTGCTGATGGGAACTTGGGTCCCCCTCGCAGCGAGGGTGCAGCGAGTCGTTTGGTTGATGCAGAGCGGAGTGCACGCGCTGGGGTGTACGGTTTAACCATGTCCTGGATGTACGAAGGGCCAGATCCATTCGCAGCATGGTAAGCAAGTACCAGTGTCTTGAAGTGGATTCTAGCAGTTACCGGAAGCCAGTGAAGGGAGCGGAGGAGCGGCGTGGTGTGGGAAAATTTAGGAAGGTTGAAGACCAGACGAGCCGCTGCATTCTGGGTGAGCTGCAGAGGTCGGATGGCACATGCAGGTAGACCAGCCAGGAGGGAGTTGCAGTAGTCTAGGCGTGAGATGACGAGAGCCTGGACCAGAACCTGAGTCGCTTTCTGAGTCAGCTGGGGACGTATCTTCCTGATGTTGTAAAGCGTGTATCTGCATTAGCGGGTTGTAGCAGCGATGTTTGCAGTGAAGGACAGGTTGTTATCTAGGGTCACACCCAGATTCCTTGCAGACTGAGTCGGGGAAACAACAGAGGGGCCAACCCTTACTCATACGAGAGGAACATGTGTTGAATGATTAGATTAAATGAAATACTTGATTGATCCCTAACTGGAACATTAGGGTTAGCATTTCACTGGTGTAGCATTGGAGAGAATATACATGCGCTAAGAGCCAATAGCATTATACATGAAAGTGGAATGGTTAAGTGTTATAACTACAGGCATAACAGAATGAGTAATACAACTGACAACAATGTTTAAAAGTGGAGGAAATGTGTCCGGTTAAGCCTCAAAGACAATTCCCAATTCTTCTTGTACAAATATTCTTGTTCATCTTTGATCTTCAAGTAAGTAATACAATTACAATACTCCTTAATAGACCATTCTACTACTAAAGAAATGCAGCACACAGGATATTATATACATTATAGTGGAGTCCGGTAGAGAAAGAGAAAACTAAAGAAACCATGAAGCTGTGATGTTCTCACTATTAGGATCTTTCCCTGTGATTTCCAGGTGAAGGTGTCTTTCCGCTGCTCCCTGTCTCTCCTGGATCATGCCGAGCAGACAGTGGAGGAACTTCCTCCCGGGGTTACGCTGATGCATCGTCCTCGAGGGGGGAGCAAGCTGAGGCTCCAGCAGAACCTCCTGATTCACTACAGCAACAACAGTCTGCAGGTCACTCACGGTCACTTTAGAAATGTGTAAAAGGGAAAGAATATACTATAGTGTGTAATGATGTGTTAGTAATTGAGCTCTCACATCTCTTCTGTGCAGACGGTGCCTCTCTGTGCAGATTTGGATCTCGTTTCGATGCGTCTGTCCAGCGACTGCATCGACTTTGGGATCTGCCACATCGGACAGACGCAGACATTAGACGTCACTCTGCAAAGCCACGGAGCGCAGACCTACTGGAAAGCAGTTTTAGGTAAATACTGACGTGTCTTCTACATATTATTGCCATTCACTTCAGTGCTCTTACTCTGGAACTAGGGTGGTGTGTGTGTGTGTGTGTGTGTGTGTGTGTGTGTGTGTGTGTGTGTGTGTGTGTGTGTGTGTGTGTGTGTGTGGTGTGTGTGTGTGTGTGTGTGTGTGTGTGTGTGTGTGTGTGTGTGTGTGTGTGTGTGTGTGTGTGTGTGTGGTGTGTGTGTGTGTGTGTGTGGTGTGTGTGTGTGTGTGTGTGTGTGTGTGTGTGTGTGTGTGTGTGTGTGTGTGTGTGTGTGTGTGTGTGTGTTGTGTGTGTGTGTGTGTGTGATGTGTGTGTGTGTGTGTGTGTGTGTGTGTGTGTGTGTGTGTGTGTGTGTGTGTATAGAGTCAGATGAAGGACAGGATGTGTTCAGAGTGACCCCAGACTTCGGGCTCCTCGTCCCCGGCTGCAGTCTCTGTCTCCAGATCAGTTTCACTCCCAGGTAACAAACCAAAGACCTCCATTATAATGTGTCCATAGAGAGGTATTCAAAACATGCCCAGGTTTCAGCTGTTTGCACGTTGTGTGTTGCAGTGATGACGGAGAGTTCAGGGCCGCGGTGGTCCTCTGGTCTCCTCTGGTGAAGCCCCCCCTCACTCTGCAGCTGCAGGGGACAGGGTCCTATGATGAAGTGCACCGGTCACACTGAGTGTCCTCTCAACACCACAGTCACATAAACACAAACACATATAAGCCCTTTGTAAGATTGTAAATAAATGTGAAGAGCAACTTGTCATGTGTATGTCAATGTATTAGATATATATGTGCTTTTTAAATGAACTTTAATTAAAAAAGCCACTTACTAACCTGCTGTTTAACATGCAGGTTTCATTAAGGCAAAGTAGCATTATCTGAGCATGCAAAGATCAAGGTAATCAAAACAGCAACGAAATGCATCTAGTCTCTTATTTTGTGATGATTCAAATCACTTTTTTTTATCATCACAGTCTTGATTTCTAGTTCTCTACAGTCCAGGAATTTGCTGTGACACCATGTGATAAACCCTGGAGACTATTTTCAGAACAGGAAACAACAGGAGATACCAGGAACACCGGACACTGCATCCATTTACTAGTGATTTGTTAGTAAAGGGGCCCTATTCTGCTGTTTGGGTGTGTTATAGGTATGTCAGGATGTGTTGTAGCTTGTTTTCAATAAGTATATAAATGATCCAAAGAGGTTGTATTCTACAGTGTGCCTGAATGTAATCATGGCGTAGGTGTGTAGTGTGATTCTGTGTAGTTTATTGATGACATCCCGTTGGGTTTGACGTCATCTGAACAGGACATCGCGCGCTCACTGCTTGATAGCGCGCGAAGCTCCGTTTACGCCGGTTGTTAAACAACATCGTTATGGGGAAATGCAAGTCTGCGTCCAAATGGTTGGAAGATAAGGAGGAAGGACAATCAATACTGTATTTAGTCAATGTGAGGTAAAGTGTGTCGCCAAGGTAACCGGTTAAAACTCCAAGTGGCGATGAGGTCTTAAAATGTATGGAAAGGGTCTTAAAAGGTGTTACTTTTGACTTCAGGACTCCTGCATATATATGTGAATGCTCTGCAAAGACTAACATGGGAGTTGTCTCTTCTGTAGCTGTAAACAAACCTGTGTTTTATTCTCACCTGACATGCAGTCGAGAGGTTGCAGCGCCTCCTCTCGGGAATCTCCTGTTCAGCCACAGGAAATCCATCATTTACTGTAAGGTTTGATCTGAAACAACAAGACATGCCTCGTTCTTTTTTCCTGTTGAGTTCACCTGAGTGCCAAAGGCCTCATTGATTTCACGCGGGTCGATTTCAGCCGCAGTCCGCCGTGAGGGAGAATGGATTTAGACCCTTTTAGCAAAGATCAAAAAAAGGCAGCCACCAGAAAAAGGAAAAAAATGGTCTAGTGTCTAGAGTCCTCCAACACGACACACTTTTAATTACTTTTCATAAATCTGACTGCAAAGGCATCCTCCTTTTCTCCCGAGGAAAGCAGGAAATCTCTCAAACAATCTGCAAACTGATGCTGCAAGCCCCTCTCACACACACATACACACACACACACACACACACACTCACACACAACCGGTTATTGTTCCTTACAGCTGCCTGTGGTGTTCATCTACAGCACAGTTCAGACGTGGACAAGTGTTTGGAATTCCACAGAGAGATGCAAATGTCCAATTGATATTCATTGCACTCTCCAGCACAGAAGCAAGGGCATGTCTGATCACAAATAAAACAGAGCCGTGTGCAACTCATCTGAAGAGTGGGGGACAAGGTCAGCGGGGCACTTCATATTCTGATTGTCTGAGTAATTTAGCAAAAAAGAGGAGAAAGGACCGCTGGGTTACATTTTTGTGCCCATTATAAATTATATTTGGGTGCACAGGTTTTCTGGCTGACAGGAGAACAACACACTTTCAGGATGAGTTACAATACCCTGCTGTGTGTGTGTGTGTGTGTGTGTGTGTGTGTGTGTGTGTGTGTGTGTGTGTGTGTGTGTGTGTGTGTGTGTGTGTGTGTGTGTGTGTGTGTGTGTGTGTGTGTGTGTGTGTGTGTGTGTGTGTGTGTGTGTGTGTGTGTGTTTATCACTACCCATTAGTCTGGAGCTCATGTTGAAGCTCTTACTGATTTGACACAACATGCTGTCGAGAAAAATATATAACTGGTGATTTAAATGTTACAGATTATTACAGATGATGCAGGTTTTTGCACATGAAAGGTACAAGTCCCTAATGTCTCATACAGAAACACTAAAGGAAAGAAATATCACATTATTATTTTGGTAATTTATTGTTTTTGTATTTATTTGTATGGTTTTAAAGAATGTAAGTTTTGTTCTGTTACCACCAGAGACCTAGGACATTTATTTGCACAAGCATAAGCGTGCATTCAATCCAAATCATGAAATAAAAACATATTAGTATTCATTAAACAATATAATTAAATAAAGATTCATTATTATAATTTGTTGGGGGGGGGTTTCAACAGCATACAGTTAGTCTATCAGAGCATGTATCAAAAGTAGGTAAACAAATCTTCACTTCAAACTTTCAAAAATAGGAAGAGTAACAATGTAAATACTGCTTAATAAAGATACATTATTACAAAAATAACTGCATGAGGTTTTTAAGTTGGTCTTTGAGTATCCTAAATGTGTTACTGTGCAGAATTGAATGTAAAAACAGTCACCTGCGGCAGCTGTTGTACTTGCAGCATGCCTCCACAGGGGGGCGGTGTTTCCTCCCTTTATCTCCCTGCCATGGAAACGCGGCACGGCCAGCGTCACCACTTCCTGGAGCTCACGTTGCTGCTGCTCACGTCAGAGGCGCAGCTCGAGGGCAGAAACTCGGCTCCTCTGTGTGTAGTGTTTAGTGTTTGTGCAGAAGAGCAGCGAGGAGCAGGCTGTACAAAAACTTTCCTCTGAACACACAGCAGACATTTCTGTAAACACTCTCTGGATAATGCACGAAGAAGAGGAGAACCTTCTGCCTGAACACAGCTTCACATTGTAGTCCTCCAGCAGTTTCCGGATATCAGCCCACCACTGTTTTTGGGGAAGATTGGCTCTGCATCTGTTGGGATTTTTTGTTTTTTTCCATCTCTTCCTCTCGTTTATCGGTGATAACTTTACACTTAATTCACCTTTAAACCTGCTGCAGCCACACCATGGAGACTGAGTGATAACAAGGTAAGAGTCCAGTCGAGATTATCTGTTCTTGTTTTGTTACATCACTGCTTTTACTCTGTTATTTCCTGTTTACAGCAAGTGAAAAGCCAGTACAGTGAAATACAGTTGCAACTAGTATTTTGCAACTATTAAATAATATAGTAATGGGTGGCCGTGCACAAAAATATAATAACAAACTACAGGAAAGGGAACATCTGTATTAAAACAACAAATATGGACTTCTTGCAAGAGACTGACCAAAACCAGGATTTCATTGCAAATATTTCTTTGAATTTGAAAGTGCAGATCCATTAAAAGTTCCTTTATTTTTTATTAAATTCAGATTGTTGCCAGAATTCACTTTTGCATTTGATTATGAGTGGTTATTCCCAGTGCAAAAAACTGTTATTTTGTGGAGGTGTGAGTCATTTCTGGAAAGTCATTGTCACTCTAGACTCATTCATGCTCTGTGTCCTTTTTTATTTTCTCTGCTGTGATTCACAGTGGTCAGTTTCCTTGAAAGGAGGATTTCTCACCTCTTATCCTGAAAAAGTTCCTCCCATGTTTTATGTTTTCCTCACCCAACTATCCTCCATTTCCATCCATGCATTCTCAAAAAGTCATGAGGAGCTTCATCCAGAGCTCTCTGTACATTCAGACCTCCGAGACAACCCGGCAAATTAGATTTGAACGAGGCCATCATGCGTTCATCAAATGTATCAGCACTTTGGGATCAGAAGTAGCCTGAAGTCAAACTGTCAACTGGGAGACGCCCACAGATACGGTTGGTGTGCCTCAAGCAAAACAATCCATCTGGGCAGATAACGGGATCCCACAGAAACATGGCACCCGAAGACAGAAGCCATGGGGTAGCTAATTGTCTTTTGATGGGAGTAATGAGGAAGAGTGTTTTGCTTTAGGTCAACCTGGTGCAAGGTCGGTGGTTTAGGAGTGCTTGTTGTTGCTCTCAGGATAGTTTATTTCATGCTGAGAATGTAATCAGAACGACCTCACGCTGTCTCCTTCACTGAAGAGTGTGAAGTCATGCTATCAAACGCTGACCTCACAGAAGCCAAGCCGCCCACTGACCAGAGGCTGGAGGTGAAAGGTGGCCGTGACTCATGTAAGGAGGCCTATTATCTCCCTCTTGAAGGCCTGTTTTGGACGTTGCCTGGTTACTCTAGTAAGCAAAACAAGTCTGTCATTGAGTGCCATACGTTTTCAACAAGTATGATGTATCTGTTGCCAGACGGCTGACATATTGCAGTCTGACAGAAAACCTGCTTTGCAAAGTTCAAGAAAAGAGTTTGTAACAGAAAAAAGCCATTGGTTGGACTTAAACATCCGGATATCTTGGTCTCTAACGCTTTTCATTTTGCCGTTTCCCACCTGAACTGTCTATTGTAAGTCCCATAACTTTAATACTTAATTGCTGGAGATTACTTTTGTTGCCATAACTCTATCAACTTAAATCCATAATGACAAAGCACAAAAACTAGACGATTTCTGACACTGTTGTCCCTTAGCCTGATGTTAAATCAGCCAATAAAACACCAAATAGAACAGAAAGGCAAACCATACACGGCTGGATCAAAAGCTTATGGGGCTAATTATCATGCTAAGGACGAAATGTTTTGTGTCAAATACAAAACAATGTAAGGCACAGGATCAGCACAAGCAGTTCAAATGTGACAACATATGCTCACATTACAAAAAGTCAAGAGCAGACAGGAAAAGTATGCATCCTGATGGCAGGTCTGGAAGGAAAGAGTATGCGAAGGAACGGTAATCCTTGTTCCCTTTAATCCTCAATGCCCATATGTGTCAGAAGAACCAAGCACATGTAAGAAAGCATTGTGTCGAGTAATGGAAGATGCTTGCTACCTTGAGGACCCCCGATGGCACCATTCTGACTAAACTTGGCAAGAAAAGTCCTTCAGTGTAAGAAAAAACCAAGACAATTCCTTTCTAAGAGATCTTCATGGTCCATCTCTTCAGAGCTCCATCAATCAGAGCTGTGTGACTGATGGAAAAAAGCCACCCTTCAGTAAAACACTACAGAAAGACTTTGCCATTTGGCGCAGATGAGTCTGAGCATGAGAGGAAAAGGAGTGTCTCTTCTGACAAGACAAGAAATTGAGTTCTGATTGCCAAGCGCTGTATCTGGCACCATCTCTATCCCTACGGTGAAGCAACGGAAGATTCAGCACCATGTGGCAGAAACTGCAAGACAAGAGGACAGAATGAAAAATGAGCCGGGGCAAATACAGATATATATCTTGGAGGAAAAGTATCTGCAGTGTGTACACAACCTCAGCAATGATTCACTAAGCAAAATCAGAGCTCTGAGCTTCAGGACAGAACCCAGATAAAAACCTTTTTGAAAAGTGTGTACATCGACCTCAAGATCAAAGCTTTCCAACACTTTCCAAACAGTGTAACGGAGCTCGAGCTCTTGCGCGAGGCAGAACGATTGACACTGTGCAAACACAGGTGTGCAGAGCTGGTTGCGGCACACCCAGTATGACGTAAAGCATAAACTGCTGACTGTGCTGCTTCCGTCAGGGGGTGAAGAGTCTTGGTACACGTTGTATTCTTAACTTTACAAAAGCAGGTGATTTCACGCAGGGATATTTGTTTTCAAGGCTGATAGAAGACAATCACCACTCGTATCACCTTCGAGATTAGGCCTGGAAAAGCAGAAAGTGAAGGCGTCTGCTGACTGCTTCCCAAAGTCAGTCTGGGTCGCCTTTCTTTATCGGGAAGGTCCAGCCTCTCCAGAAAGCGAGAGGAAGTTGTCCTGATTGAGCTTTGTCTGCCTTAAGGAGCAGAGTCTGCCGGATAGACACAACACCGCCAGATTGCAACCATTCAATAACACTGAGGACAACTTTGTCTTATGTAAAACACCTCTCCTTTAAATTGAAGGTATCATAGTGAATGCATAAAGAAGTGAGACTCTTTTGTGTGAACGCAGTACATTAACTCGTGACAATGCTCACTCAGCCGCTTCAAATCAAACGCCCAGAACTCAGCTCATGGATAAAGCTTTGGTTGCAAAGCCGAAATACTTTCCTGCTCTCTTCCTGAACCACAGCTGTTTGACATTGTGTCTCGTGAAGTGGGTTTAAGTCTGTGCGCTGCCTCTGCATGGCTGCGTCTGGGTGGAGAAACACAATGAATGAATGAATGAATGTGCATGTCACCGCAAAATGGAAAAGACAGCTTACTTTACAGATTGTGCTTAGAGAGGATATGGTTTTTCCAGAGAGTGGATCCACGCTGCGGACGGCAGGAGACACACTCCTTCACGTGGCTATTTTTAGCCGGTGTTGTGCGGTTAATGATAACGGCAGACAGATCTACTTATCTCCGAGCTAATAGAGCCATCACTTTCACTGAGGAGGCTCCTCTCTCTGATTGCTACCAGAGGATTGAGTTAACATCCATTTCCCTCATTATACCAGCTGCATTCTGCTAGGACCACTATTGTCTCCTTGGGATTTCATTTGTTCGGAAATGAAGTGATGAAAGCAGCGCTCAAACTTATGATTGATAAATCATTTAAACAACCTTCACTGTGTTCAGATCCTAGGATGATAGAAATGGCACTTTATCTCTGTTGAGTATCATGTATTTCAAATGTAGTCGATTTAAAAAAAGCAGTTTTATTGCGTAGTCGTCAGGCTCTGGGAAATTGCGTTGCTATTTTTGATTAAGAGAGTGCTTACAATGCCCTACTTTAGGAAGGTTTGCATGGTTTTCGACATTATCTGCACTAATACTGGTTTTAGTGAACTGCTAATGTTGTCATGCTTGTAAGGAAAATACATATGTCTACATATTTGAGTCTGGCTTGTGGTCGCAGTCACACCCATAGGTGGAATTCGCGTATTGACACACCTGAGTTAGCATGGTGACTCTGTTCCTGGTGAGTGCAGCTGAGGCTGGTGGGAATATTGTTAGGTGATCATAAACCTAGTTTTGACATGAAAGTCTGGAGTTATTAGGATACATCACCTGGGAAACATGTCTGATATTTCTCTGAAAAAGGGAATACTTTGACCTGCTGGTGGCATTCGATGCAAGTATGAGGATCATGAATGGAGTAGCATTTATCTTCTGGGGACCATGAATGAATGTGGAAAGTTCCATGGCAATTAGTTGAGATATTTCAGTGTTGTACCAGGTTTTTAAATGTGAAGAATTGCTGTTTTTATTCGTGTATGTGCTTTAAGATTAAATACTAGATGTCTGTTTTTAAAGATATCACTTTGGGAGATTATAATCCTTTTTTTTCATTATTGTCTTCTGAGATTTAGGGTTTGGTTGCAACTCCAAATGAAACGAGATAAAAATAATGGCATCAAATCAAAAGGGGAATTCTTTTATTTTAAATCTAGATCGTCTTGTGTCGTTGTAGGAAGGAGACGTTGATCCTTGTGTCCCATTAGAAAAACTTGAATATCTTCTCAGCCATAAGTCCTGAAAGACAAAGCCAGGGGGGCCGAGGTGATGATAAATGAGGCCCCACATGGAGTGTCTTTCTCCTTCCCACACTTTTAAAGCCGTTAAGTTTGTCCCTGCTTGGAAAACCCTCTTCTTACTCAACGTGCAGAGCGACGACGACACGCTGCATTGTGTTGTTCCCAGAAGCCTCCATTATTCTGCCGTCTGACTCATGTGTGTTGGCGAACGTTCAGGACCGGATACAGCGTTTAAACAGAGCATGTCGTGTCAGCAACAGACCATTTTCCTAATTATTAAACCAATAAATGCACATCACTTAGACTTCTCATCAAAGATTACCACGCTGAAAAACATGCTTTTGGTTTTTGGAAATGTTGACGGATTCCAGGCGGGCATTCGCTTTCAATAACTTTCATATGATAGACTTCAGAGTGGTTTCATAATGCATCCCAGTGAACATTTTGCATTACATTTAGTCAGATGGATGTCATTATTTTGAGTTAAGGGAGTTCAAACTCAGATTTAAATTGCATTAAAACTAGATTATCTAC